GAACAAATTCACACGAAGGCGTCGCTTTCACCCCCACTTAAAACGGGTTCGGAGCTCGGGTATAGAGCCTTTAAATGAAAAAAAGAAAACTTTGAAGGCTGAAATCATGAAAAAACGATTAGTCCAACTATTTACTCGAAAATAATCAAAAGTAAGTAAAAAGGATCTAAATATTACCTTAAAATTTAAACTTACCCTTTTCGTTAAAAAGACAATTGGAAATTACCTTAGCCTGACTCACTTACCGTCCCCAGCGGAGTCGTCAAGCTGTCGCAACCGTCTTTCAGTTGGGCCCCGGAATTGGGCTTCGACTTAGAAAAATGTGGATTGGAGTCGCCACCGATCATTTATTTAAAAATAAATGGGTTGATCGGATACCCTATTTCTTACCTGATCTGCGTCTTACCAGAAATATGTCGGGCTCGGGAGTCGGTTACGATCAAGGAAGGATTAGCACCCTTGAACCGCCCTTTCGGTACTACGTAATTTCCAGTTGTCTTAATTAAGAAAAATAACAAGTTAAATTAAAAGGTAAAGTTTCGATCCTAATTACTTACCCTTGATTGATTTGAAAATATCCTTTAAAAAAAATCGAGAAATGTGTTAGATAAACAAGGTAAAGAAAACAAATAAGATACAAGGGAAAAATAAAATAAATAAAATAAATAAGTAAGATAAGATAAGAAAAAAAATAGTAAAGTAATAATTATATATAGTAATATTTGAAAAAAGGAAAAAATATAAATATATATATATATATATATATATCAAAGTATTAATAAAATAAATAAGCTATATATACACCAAATACTTAAAAATAGAAAAGTTACCCTCCCAATTCACCGAAAGTGGGGGCTTTAGTAAGAAATAAGACAAAAAATGGGCCCTCTAGGTTAGTAGTATATAATATAATGTTTAATAATAATAATGATAAAGACACAAGATTTTTTTTTAAAAAAATAATAATATAATAATAATGAATAAAAAACGAAAATAATAAAAAATAATATAAATATATAAAGTTATAAGATATATTACATAAATAAAGAAATAATCAAATAAAAATAATTAAGAATATATATATTTAATAATATGTATATAAATAAACTATTAAAAGTATAAAAAAATATACGACTAGATAAAGATAATTACAATATATATAGTAATATTAGACTTATAAGAAAAATATTAAAGAATATATATATATAATAATAAAATATAGTAAAAAAATAAATGAAAATAATTTAATATATATATATATATACATATAATAATAATAACATGAATAATAAAAATAAATGAATAAAATATCCATATAATAAATAAAGGGACTAATATAGATTTTTAAAAAGCTCTTCCCCTCCTTTAACCGAAAATCAAACCGGTTTTTAAAAATAAGCCTCGGGGTAGATCTAGGTTCGAAACTTCGAAACCCCACCCATTTTGGTTATCGGCGCAACCCACGTTTTGGGTTATTCGAACCAAATCTCAAGAAAAATAACGTGCACATGCAAAAGAAAGAAAAAAGAAAATGCTACCTTTTATTTCCTTTTCGAATCCTTTACAATAGTTTTGCCTTTGTATCTTCTCGTGCTTTCCTCTATGTTTTGTGTGTAAATCGTGTGTTACAATGGTGAGTTACAATGGCTATTTATAGTATTTGTGGATCCTATCTTTAGGAATTTAAATCTTAGTAGAACTCTATCCTATTTTTAGGAGTTTGAATCCTAGCAAAATTTTATCCTATTTTTAGGAGTTTGAATCCTAGTAGGACAAAAATGTGTGTTGACAGGTAACATGGACATAGGAAGGAGGAAAAGAATGCCTCTGAATTTTATTAATCTGAATCATAACATACAACCAATCCCTAACCAGTAGTTGCTTACAACATAATACTTAATACATCAATAAAACCATAATACCCTTAAGAAAACAAAACTAACCACAACACCTTAAGAACCACAACATATAAAACTCTAAATTAGCCTATACCAGCTTTTGCTAACTCCTTCGCTTCCCAATTCGCAACTCTCGGAATATGTCTTGAAATAATACCCTTTCCTTTCACAAAAATAGCTACATCTCTTACCAAGACATGAAACAAAGGGGTACATAAATCTGATTTTTTAATCCACTGCAGAGCCGTAGTAAAATCCGATTCCAAAATAATCCTCTGACTTGGAAAAGATCCTACTTCTTCAATGAGATTCAAACCTCTTTTGATCGCCAATATCTTTGCAAGTATAGGAGGATCGTCCCCAATTTTATCTAAAAATGAACCAAGTTATAAACCCCTGGCATCCCTAATCAGTCTGACTATTCCACCTTTGTCCCATTCCTTTGCCATCGCCTCATCTACATTAAGTTTTAGGAAACCTTCTGGAGGAGGAACCCACTTTGAAGAAGGATAACCCCTTTTTTCTGTCTTCCTGTTGAATCTTCTAGTTTTATATCCCCTATTAAAGAGTCAAAAGGAATTTTAACCTCCTTAAATCTAGCCCCAAACCAAGAAGCAATTCTAAAACGAGCAAGAAAGAACAGCAGTGCAGTATCCAACTTCCCATTCTGAAAAATTATCTCATTTCTGCATTTCCAAACCGACCACATCATCACCCTTGGAATGAATTTCCAAATAGTAGAGCTCGGAAGTAGATCATCCCACAAAATTATAAAGTCGATTAACTTCTCAGGAACCACAAAAGAAACATTTCAATCCATCAAGAATCTAAGTTTCAACTCGGGGAGGAGCAACCCCTGTCCAAACATGCTTATCCCAATTACCACCCTTTCATCATTAACCTCCTGATCAAAAAATATTGTAATGCAAGATTTAGTTAAAAAACAACCCTCTTCATTTCCTAACCATATCCAGCAATCTTCCTCTAATAATGACAATGTGGAACTATTCAGCAAGGAAATAAGCTGCAACCATTGCTCAACCTCTCAATCTACCAAGTTCCTTCTCACTTGAATATCCCACACCCATCCTGAATTATTATTCAACCTGAAATCTGCATCCTTACCCCCTTTGTTATTCGATAAAGCAAATAGCCTCGGAAATCGCTCTTTCAGAGGAACCAGACCTAACCATATATCATGCAAAAACTCCACTGATTCTCCATTTCCAACTCATAAAAACATATTTTTCCTAAGGCAATCCCCAAAAAGCATCACTAGAAAAGAAATTCTTAACAACTCCTCTCCAAATCCAAGAAACACGAGTTGTCCATTTATTCTCAATCATCATAGATTTCGGATCCAAGTTGTTCACACTGCACATCACTTTTTTCCACATGGAACTCTTTTCTGAAGCAAATTTCCAAACACATTTCCCCAGTAGAGCCCTGTTCAAGAGCAATAGATTTGGAATCCCTAAATCTCCCAAATTCTTTGGTTTACACACCAACTTCCAATTCACCCAGTGGATTTTCTTTTTTTCTGTCGAACCTCCCCATAGAAAAACTGCCATGATAGAGTTTAACTTGTTGAAAACACTAATTGGGATCCGAAAAATAGAAAGGAAGTATATGGGGAGAGAGCATAACACCGATTTCACCAAAACAACCCTTCCAGCCAACGATAGAGACTTAGCCTTCCATCCAGCCAAACTATTGTAGAATTTCTGAACAACAGGCTCCCACAAGGCAAATCAGTTCCTCTTAGTCCCCCAACAGTAACCTTAAGTAATCCGAAGAAAAAGATCCCATTGAACATCCAATTTCCTTAGCCCAAGCAGCTAACACCTCTTCCTCAACATTAATCCCAAATATTCTGCTCTTTACTAAATTTAACTTCAACCCCACCAATAATTCAAAAATCAACAAAACCGTTCTAATATTCAACAAATCACAAATAGTTACCTTGCTAAAAATTATAAGATCATCCGCGAATTGTAAATGTGATAACACGAATGAGCGATCATGAGTACCTAACTCGAAACCCGAAAACATCCCCTTGTCCATTGCCTTAACCAACAACAAGTGTAACAATTCACCTCCCAAATTAAACAACATCGGAGATAAAGAACATTGGTGAGGTCAAATATATGTAGATATCTAAATAATTAATTTTTAATTTATGATGAACTAATTAAAAATTAAAATTAATGTGTAAGATTATATATTGGGATTATGATCTCCAAGTACAATCCAAGTGTTGTACTAATCCAACTCCACCTGATCCAGCTCAACATCATCCTTATTTTCAAAATTTTATCTTGATCGAAATTTTCCTCAAGTAAAGACTTAAGTCCAAATTAGTCGAGCATAAAGACTAAAACAATGACCAAACTAGTTTAATCTTTTTCTTATTTAAATCTGAACATAAATATTGTATGTGAAGAATGAATGAATGAGTGCACGTGATATTGGTTACATGTTCCACTCTCAAGCTATTCTTTTCACTTCATTGTCCGGTAATTAATCATACTTTGTTAGTGGTAGGCCTTTATGAGATGTCTGATCTGATGTTATGCGTCTGGTGATGGATAAGATGTTGACTGACTTCAGGATTCCCATTTTCCTCTCCTCATTCACTCTATTTTCCAAGTGGGACACAATTTGATTGCACCCGACAATCCAAGACTGCGATTTAACCAAGTTTATGTTCACACTCATTTGTTGACAAAAACCAATTTAGAATCGTTATCATGTTCTAATGGAACTCGCACTAGTGCAAACCAAAGACAATAATTTAAAGGGGGAGGGGGTAAGAGAGAATTGTTGAAATTGTGGGGGTCATTTTTATAATCATGGTCAAGGGTAACACATATCATACACGTCAAAAGAGTTTCAAATCAGTCCTCCACTTTCTGCACACTCTTCAGACCACACTCCCATTTCTTTACAATAACACATATACCCCCACCCCAGCTATGAAGGTTGGCCCCCGAGTGAACCGTCTAAAGGTGGGGTTTCCGATAACAACTGCCAATCACAATCCTCAAGTTTACTCCCAAATACAAAACCAAAAATTTCTTAAAAAAACCATTTTTTTTCTTTTTTGGGTGAATTAGTGATCAGTCACTTCCATGGGGTTCTCAAAGCTATACTGCAAATTACTTAAAAAAGGTCTTAGCCACGCCGAGCCCCGGTGAAGTAGTTGAAGTCATGGTGCTGGACTCGAAGTTGCTTTAGCCACGAATCGGCGACGCTTAAAAGCGACACCAGCCTTTCTTGGTCCCGTCCGGAATTCCACACGTTTCCTTGCATCTTGTAAGTTGCCAAGCCAAATGGTGGAAGGGAGATGCCTTCCCCTTCCTTCCGCTTCCTTTCGGCACTATCGATGTCGTCTTCCAGGTCCATATCTGAACCAACAATAAACACAGGCATGCATATATAAACCATCTAGGAATCAATCGACTCTATACTTTTATGCTTTAAGCAAGCGCATAGACAGAAAGAGCACCTTGGAAAGAAGATGATAGTGTATGGTAAGTAAGGAAGCATGTGGACAAGTCTTTTATGGTCCTTCCCATGGGAATGTGATAAATCGGGTACCTATTATCATCGATATGGAATAACAATCCCTCGTCAATAATCCGAAATTATACAGTATGTCGAGACAAGGTTATGAATTGTTTAACATAATCAATGTGGAAGGGATAGAGAAAGACCAGGAAACTGCCATCCAACTAGCCGGAGAAAGATCGACGCTCCTCAATGACATCAAACCAGGATATCTTCTTGATAATCCATTAATCTGTAAATAAGAGAGTATCGCAACTTATTCTTCTCTGTCACAAGAATAAGTACTCAAAATCAATCTCATACGAAACAGCAAGCATTTATGCTCATGAAGGATGAGATATAAGTTGATAATATCCTCAAAAGAAAAGGAAAATTTGGATCTTTAAAGATAATAAAAAAACAAAAGAAAAAGGAATTTTCATACTCAAATGTCAAAAGTTTTATCTCATCTTTATGAGATGCTTATATTCTGACAAGTACACAGCTGAATTTTCTTGGTCTGGCCAGTTCCATATGACATAATCAATCAGATAATATGCAAATTCAAAGCAAGGAGACAATGCAATCGGTGCAAAAAGAAGATGGAATAAGCAAGGAGAGAGACAAAAAAGGTTACCTTATCCATGAGTGGAACTCTTCCATAAGGAGTTGATCTCTCGAAATACTGAAAGTAAAGGTAACCCAACCGGTTATTCACATGCCAAAGGCTGTCCTGCTCGGAGCCGCCTTCCTCCGACGAGCATCCGTCCCATCTCCATAGCTTGTCACTCTCGCTCTCATCGCTCAATGAATCACTAAACGAATCCCTCTCGCCATCGCCCGATTCAGTCTCCTCCCTGTACAAGATTCCAGTAAGATGCCTTCATATTGGCTTGCGATCAAAACCAACCAATAGAATGTAGAAGAAGAAGATGACTATGATGATGATCTTACTTAAAGCTGTTGACTGAAGAGTTGCTGGTGAAGATTTGAATGGCGGAGAGATAAGGAACGTAGTATTGAACTAAGGTTTCGCCGTTGTTCAAGACAATGGGAACACCAGCCCCATACGCACTCCCTTCGTCGTAACAATTCCAAAGATCACCCAATGTGAAAAATTCAACCTTTTCTCTCTCCCAAGGGTGCCATAAACGATTGAGGTTCCTAATCTCACTCTGCAAAACAAACATCATAAACAATAAAAATCATGTAAGAAGAAGAAAAAAGGGGAGGAGAAGAAGAAAAGGGTGAACCTTGGGGAGGAATTGGGATCTGACGGTAGGAGTTGTGCAATGGAGGAAGCAGGCAAGGTTAGACTGTGTCGACCCTGTTTCAAAAATCATGATTTCTGAACAAAGGAGACGGAGAGAGAGATATTGGGTCTTCTTCTTCTTTTGTCTCTCGACCTCAAAAGAACAGAGGGAACCACAAAGAAAACAAAAGAAAAGAGAATGGGGAAGGAGATGAGGGATAGAGGAAGAGAGAGATTGTCGCGGATTTGGTTATATAATAGGAATTTATGACTGGAAAGAAATTATAAATGTTGACGTTTAGGCAGCTAAATTTAAGGAAACAGAAAAGGAAGAGAAAATTAAGATCAAACTCTCGCTGTTCAACCGAGTCTTTCTTGTTGGTTGACAATGTTTCCAAATTCAACTCTTTTCCGGTCACCTGTTGATTTGGAAGGCTTCAACTTTTATCTTCTCCTTTTTAAACTAAACTCAACACTACTCTGCTGTGATCAACAATTCAGAAACAAGCTTTCTTCTATCTTTTTAAAAAAAATAAAAACACTAGCAGGTGGTCGAAACACTCATATTCCAGCACCAAGAAACAAAAAAAAAGAGGAAAATTTAACAGAAACAGATGATTTCTGGGTAAAAATGATTTGTTTGGTTCTGGGTTTTTCACTTGGATGGAGAGCTCTTATGTAACAGAAAATGAAGAAGAACAAAAAAGAAGAGGAAACAAGTTATTTCACAAGGAAATAGAAACCAGAGCACAAACACAATAAGGTGTAGACTGATGAGAGAAACAGAGAAGAACAAAGAGAAAATATCGAATTTATGAACAGAACTATCGGTCTCTCTATATTTTCTAGAAACGACTACTGAAGACGAGATATCAAAGTGGATAATAATTATGGTATCTGATTTTTCGCATTTTTACCAAAATATTACCATGAAATCCATTAATATCAGTAAGGTACTCTTTCTCTTAATATTATTAATCTAGTACATTTGACAAAATACGAATAAGTATTCATGTCTAGTATATTTTTTATAAGAGAAAATAATTTCAGTGACCAAAAATGCCTTATAATATACGATTTTAATCAACTTTTTTTGGATTTGCCAAAATGACCAACAAAATCGCAATGCGATCGCTAATTCGCAACGCGATCTCAGGTATCGCAAATCAGTTTCCAAATTCGCAACGCGAACTTCGACTATCGCATTGCGATTTACATATTCGCATTCTGATAGTCCAAGTTCGCGTTGCGATAGTCGAAGTTCGCGTTGCGATTTTCCAAATTTGTTGATATAGTCCAAGTTTGCGTTGTGATTTATTCCAAATTCGTTGCGATAGTCTCCAAGTTCGTTGCGATAGTCTCCAAATTCGTTGCGATAGTCTCCAAATTCGTTGCGATAGTCTCCAAGTTCGTTGCGATAGTATCCAAGTTCGTTGCGATAGTCTCCAAATTCGTTGCGATAGTCTCCAAATTCGTTGATGTAGTCTCCAAATTCGTTGTGGTAGTCTCCAAATTCGTTGTGATAGTCTCCAAGTTCGTTGCGATAGTCCAAAATCGCAACGACTGGTGGTATTGCATTTGTTTCTTAAGAATTTTCTCTAAAAAAGATAGTATTCGCGCGGACGTGTCGAAGACACGTATTACCACGACCACGACTACGCCTACGACCCGACCCGAGACGAACGACGGCGGCGTGCGAGAGTCCCTCTTGTTCTCTATCACTCAACAAGGAAGTGGGAAAGCCAAGCCTTAAATAACATTCTCAATAGTGTTTCCAATACTATGTGGGATTGAGCATTACCAACACTTGTTCTCAATACTAATAAATTAAATCTTTAATCAAATATATATCTCATAATTCATAACATTAGCATCATATATATCTATATTTGGTAACTGAAATAGTAGTAAGCATATACTAAAGAAGTTAATATTCCAATAAGAATCAAAGATTACATAAAATTTATGATCACATCACGATTTTCAAAATAAGTCAAAATAATAATGTCTAAATGACACCATTAAAAAAAACATTAATCTTTGACTATCTTTCAAGAATTTCTTAATTATAGATTCATCAAAATAAATTAGAATACGATACAAAAAACTAAAACCAACTACATGATTAACCAAATACTGAATTCAAATTTAATAAAATAAACAGTACATAACTGTAATAAAATTTCTTAACCGTGCAAACAACAATCAATACAAATATATATTATATACTTTATGAAACCATAATCAATGAAACTAAATTTAATCAATAATAGAATTTTACCTTATTGTTTTACTGTTGCACTCATGAAACACCATAATAAAAATTTGTACATTTATTTATCACCAAAGCACCAATAAATTATAACAACTATTATACTCATGAAACATCATAATTAACGCATAAGATAAATTCAAGTGTTGGTAATGTTCAATCTCACATAGTATTGGAAACACTATTAGGAATGGTATTTAAAGCTTGGCTTTCCCACTTCCTTGTTGAGTGATAGAGAACAAGGGGGACTCTCTCGCGCCGCCACCGCCGCCGTCCGTCTCGGGTCGTGGTCGTGGTCGTGGTAATACGTGTCTTCGACACGTCCGCTCGAATACTATCTTTTTAGAGAAAATTCTTAAGAAACAAATGCAATACAACCAGCCGTTGCGATTTTGGACTATCGCAACGAACTTGGAGACTATCGCAATGAACTTGGATATTATCACAACGAATTTGGAGACTATCGCAACGAATTTGGAGACTATCACAACGAACTTGGAGACTATCGTAACGAACTTGTAATAAATCGCAACGCGAACTTGGACTATCGCAACGAATTTGGAATAAATCGCAACGCAAACTTGGACTATCGCAACGAATTTGGAAAATCGCAACGCAAACTTGGACTATCGCAACGAATTTGGAAAATCGCAACGCGAACTTCGACTATCGCAACGCGAACTTGGACTATTGCAATGCGAATATGTAAATCGCAATGCGATAGTCGAAGTTCGCGTTGCGAATCTGGAAACTGATTTGCGATACCTGAGATCGCGTTGCGAATTAGTGATCGCATTGCGATTTTGTTGGTCATTTTGGCAAATCTAAAAAAAGTTTGTTAAAATCGTATATTATAAAGCATTTTTGGTCACTGAGGTTATTTTCTCTTTTTATAAAATGTGAATCACTATTCGCACCTTCATCAGATTCTGTCTTAGTTGACGCCACGTAAAAAAAGACGCAGATCGTCCTCCACCCTTTTCATAAGAAATATTGACACGACGTCAAGTGAGTAGTCGTATTTTAAGGGACGCGTATTTCAAAGTCTACATCATCCCTAAAATCATTTAAAAATATATATTTTAAAATAATTAAAAAATAAAATTATAAAAATTATCATCGTAATTTAATACATATTATTTTCATGAGTTGAAAAAGTAATGGGGTTAATTTATATAGACATATTCCTTAAATTTTTTTATCTTTATATCTAATGAATCTACTTATACACAATTGTTAAATTACATTAGGTTAATATTTATTATTAAGATTTATATTAATTAAGATTAGATTTTTTATATGTTAATATATTTAAATAATTACATTAGATTAATATTTATTATTAAGGTTTATACTAAATTAAAATTTGAAGCTAATATATATCAAAGGGGAAACGATATACTCATGTAAAATTGAATATAAGGTTAATTATATTCGGGGGCTCAAACGCCTTAAAATATTGTATGTTCTTTTGTTTTAAATCTAGATTATGAGATAATGGGTAATTTATTTAATTATATGTTTTTGTTGTAGTAATTTGAGATAAACTAAGCTACAAAATGTTCGTTCTTATGAAATTAGCGAGCTTAAGAGTCTAACACATCTATAAGAAGCATACTAACAAAAAAATTGATTAGATATATAAGCTTCAACAATTTTAAAGGGTAGATAAAAAATAAGTTAACAATAGTGTATAAGTAGATTCATAAGATATAGAGATAAAAAAATTAAGGAATACCCATTTTAACATTTATCTCACGTTGTCAATAAACATAACCTAAACACTCTAATATATCTCCATAAGTTAACCGCATTAAGCTCTTCAACTCATTGAACTAATATGTATTAAATTACAATATTAGTCCCTATAGTTTTTTTTTTAAATATTTTTTAAAATGCTTTGAGAGATGATGTGGACCTTGAAAGGCATGCCCTTGAAACGCACCTTTTTACGTGACGCCATATCAACATTTTCCATGGAAGGCGCGCTTCATGATCCGCGCCTTCCGTATATCTCAGAGGTTCAGTGAAGGCGCGGATCGTCCGTTACGTGACGCCAGCTCGGATAAAATCCTGCGAAGGTGCGGATGGTGATCCACGTTTTATTGTCACTTTGTCAGAAAAAATGTTAGATCGGTAATATTATGAGAGAGTACCTGATAGATAACTAATGAGTCTGATGATGATATTTCGGTAAAAAAACGTTGATTTTTCATATCTATTATCACTTTGGTTAAAATATAAAATTTAATTTTTTTAAATAATAAATGAAATTAAGTTACATAAAAAATTAAACAAAGACTTCTACAGTAACATTTCTGTTAGAGTTAAACTTAAGAAGACAGAATTGGAGCAAGTTCAAATTGAAACTCTTAAAGGCGTCAGTTCTATGGACAAAGAATTGAAAACTCAAAAGGAGCTGACTGCCTTAGAGGAGATAGAGCATATGTTTCTTAAGCAGAAAGCAAAAATCCAGTGGATTAAAGAATGAGACAAATGTTCTAAAATCTTTCATATGGCCATTGCTTCTAATCATAAAAGGGATACCATTAGAATACTGGTCAATAATGAGGGGAAACGACTTGATTCCTTTGATGCTATGTCTACAGAGATCATTGATTTCTTCAAATTACAACTAGGAACTTCTGATCCTAGAGTCCTCCCAACTGATCCTTCATATCTAAAAAACCTGCTCCAAGAAAATATCTCCAATGAAGTTGCCTCTGACCTAATTAAAAACATCACTACTGAAGAGATCAAGGAGGCATTATTTCAACAAGGAAATGACAAAGCACCAGGACCTGATGGCTACACTTCACTTTTTTTCAAAAAATCCTGGATTGTTGTAGGGGAAGATGTCATCAATGCCGTAAAATTTTTCTTCCAAGAGAATTTATCAGTCCTGCCTTCAACTCAACCATTATTGCTTTGATCCCTAAAATTCAAAACCCCAATCATATCAAGGACTACAGACCTATATCCTGTTGTTCAGTGGTGTACAAAACTATCACAAAAATCCTTGTCAAAAGATTGACTTCACTACTGCCTGGGATTATATCTCTTAACCAAATAGCTTTTGTGAAAGGTATATCTTTAATTGATAACACTCTCCTCGCTCAAGAATTGGTGAAAGGATATGGCATAAAACATATTTCTCCAAGGTGTGCCCTCAAAATTGATCTTCATAAAGCCTTTGATTCTCTTCATTGAGACTTTCTATATGATGTTCTTATTGCAATAGGGTTGCCTTT